TTGTTAGGTAGGTAGGTATGTATTATGTAGAGTCGTAGAAATACTTATACTACTTTTAAATTATTAAGATAATACTACCACAGAATAAACCACAAGACGTTATCGATAAATAATACCAAAATTTGTTAAAAATACTTTTGAATACAATTAGTCAATTATTTAGTAATTCTTAGGTTAGGTAAAGTTGTATTATTATTTTTATAATCCAATACCATTAATGTTGATTAATAATGAGTACAAAAACACTTCAGTAATATTATTATGTGAATGCCTACTTAACTGAATAATTGTGTAATAAAACAATATAAATTATAATTAGCAAGAACATAATAATAAATCTAAAAAACATTAGGTACCTATTTATATTACAATTATTTAATTAAGAAAATGCAAGCCTATGATTTATGAATTAAAAAAAACAAACATTCAAACATTTAATTCACTATATAGTATATTTGATGCAGATTTGTGGCAGTTTTTTTCAATACATATTAATTATTTATAAACAACTAAAAATAATTAGTTAAAATAAGTAATTTAGTAACAATGTACTTGCCTCACTATACTTTATTCAACTTAAGTTAGGATGGATATTAAGAGCAATATGTACTAACTACTAATACTTAATAGCCTATAGGTTCACATATTATTTAATATTTAGTAATAAAATAGTTAATCGATTTCCAGATGGCCTGCAGAGGAAACGCGCGATTCATAAATACAAAGAAACGTAATGTACACAAAAATAAAGTTCAGGGAATAAAATAAGTTAATTTTAATATAATTATAAAATAAACAGCAAGTCAAAATATTACTTCACTAATTTACCAGGCCAAATCAATCTGGAGGACTACGCTACATACAGACTAGTACGCTACATGCATGACATATTGTGCTGTCTGCGTCGGAAAAACCTATAAACCTATACGTATATACAAACGTAAGGGCATTGGCATACCAAATTTGAGTTCATTAGAATCTATCATACAATCGTGTGTTCGTGTGTTGATATAAGTTTTAAATATTAGAGTGAACTGGCCTAATATAAATATTAAAGGTAAGAACATTATCTGAGCGTCAGCCTCAGCTTTTCTTTGATAATTCTATTCTTAAGCGAGTTATGAGAATGTAAAATATTACAAAAAATAACATATATAATATAGAACTTGCTCAGAAATTAAAGTTTCGTAAAATAAGATAAGGTAGAAACACAGGCAATGTTAATAATACGTAAATTCATTAATTCATTATTATCAGTTATTGTTAACATATCACCAATGATTGGAGTTAATAATACATTAATACTTATTATTTTTTTTAAATATTCTGCATCTAAAATGAATAAAAGTGCACTTAATATAATACATTCAAGGCCGTAACTGGTGGGGTCCAGGGGTACGGACCCCCCCCCCGAAATTTTTAAAAGTAGAAACATTTTAGCGGTGAATATTGTTTAACTATACTAAAACTATACCTAGAAAAAATGTTGGACCCCCCCCCCCCGAATTTTTTTTCCAGTTACGGCCTTGAATACATTGATCACCTTCCAATTATAAAATAGATAAAATAGAAATATTCTGTATAATAAATGTTAAATATATAAAGGAATATATATATATTTATTTACATTATACACAGATTAACATAGAAAACTAGAAAACTAAAAAATATAAACTTATACAGACAACAGACATGCACATATATTACCAGCTTAAGAGGGACTATGTATAGAAATGGTTTAACTAAAATGTTTCATCACGCCAATGCACTAAATTGCCTTAATTAATTTGTGAATTTTATGGCCAGGAAATGTATAACTACAGAGGGACAATATCATATGTTTTTAACCATATTTGAATGTAAATTGTAATAATTGATCTTAATAGTATTATTTGTTTGAAAAAAATAACAAAAACAATTAACATGCACATTAACACTAAGTTTATAATCTTATATATCTTCCAAAATAGCATTTAAAAGCTGTTCAGTTTTATCGATAACCTTTTTAAGTTCAAACCATTAATTTTAATTACAGGAGCCATCATGTGTTCCGTTTAATCTAAAAAATATGCAGGTTACACATGGAAATATCTATTCCTATTGTTGTTTAGGCAATGAATACAAAAATTATTTGTACATAATTTACGAAGTAAAAACTAATTAGGTACTTCCAATTTTCCAAACCATAATATAAACCATAATAATATTAGAAAAAAGTTAAATAAGTCTTTACTAATTAATAATTTTGATGTAAATATCAATAAAATAAAATGACTTACAATACCTATTACATTTAGTAACAACGAGGTATGATTAATACGATTTCAAATGTGTAAGTTTATACCTACTTTAAATTTTTTCGGTTCGAATAATATTTTAACTAATAAATTAATAATTTGAGCATAAGTTAATATTATTAACAGAATATTATTGACAAAAGATAAAACATAATATAATACCTATTATCAAAGTGGAATCCAATATTACCTACCATAGTAGTACAATATTAAACTCTAAATTCTGATTATATTAGTGGTCCGCTTATCGTAGTAAATAGCGATCAATTATTTATTTAGAATAACGGTAAAACAACAATAATTTCATTTACACGCATTAAAGATTTATTAATTATTAATTTTACTCATTAGTTGTAAACAAATATTAGTATCTTATCTACATTTATGAATGTTAAAAAAAACATTCTTCCTTCATTACCTGACCTTAATACCTATATCATTTTTAACTTTTCAATTTTACACCAATGGGCAAATATACCAATATGGACCAATTATTTCTAGATATAAAATATACCTAACATCAAATGAATATTTAAATATTTAATCGGATATTTAATATACAAAACCGTAAATAAATTACCTTAATATTTTCTACGCAATGATTTATTTCTAGCCAAAATTATTCTAAAACGTTATGATAAATTCAATCTCTCAATCCAGAAATCAAAAAATATGATCCTCACGTTCAATGTTATTTTTTTCGGGAATATATCCATTATTAGAAATATTACATAATTTATAACCTACTTATTAATTATTTGTAGTATAAACCAAAAACGTATACAAATAGGTATATAAAAACATATTTAAGACATAGAACGGTACAAAATTCAAAAACATTACTAAACTATTTCGTCAATTCTTCAGATTTTTAATTAATACTTATATTTTCTAATGATTATGAGTAAGACACAAAAACGGGTGTGAACCCATTCATTTTCAGTTAAGAAAAATAGAATAAATAAAGCGTCTTGCACTTTTTTAATCAAAATTGAAATAAGTAATTAGTTTTGTGTCTTAGATATCGACCAAGTCAGAATTTGGAAGAAAATATATTATTAGTACAACCATAAACTAAATACAGGTAGATATTACCGTACAAATATATTTAATTTAAAGACAACTACCTAATTAGTATTAATACGAAATACCTACCGATGAATACACTCAATATACCCAAAAGTTGAATATTAATTATCCATATTAATTAATTTATTTATTTATTTATTTATCTACTAATTATACCTAAACCACGATAACTAATTAAAAAATGGTATGTCGGATTATAAATCATAAAAAAATGTTAAAATTTGAAAATTATAATACGAAATTATTTAGAATCCAACATCTATCTACAGTATTTATTTTGTCATTTTGAGCATAAATAATTTCACACTTTGGTAGTTATCAATAAAAACTAAAAAGTAGTACCTACTAGGTTTAAAATAGAATTAGGTAGGTAATTACAATTTGTAACCAACCAAATGTAATCAAATTATTTTTTAATTAAATGTGTAGGTAGCTACATCAATAGTTTACAGAGTTGAATACAATTTCACTAATTATTAAAAACGTCTATTATTCTGACTGGCGATTCTTTAAGATTAAAAAACATGATATTATTCTAAAGAGTTAAAATTACTTTAAACTCTTATCGCAATTTTATTTAACAAAACAATAACAAGTTGGGAGTTCTTATAGTATAAATAATATTTTTAATTTAAATAAATTAAATATTTTTAGCACTTACACTTTAGAAAATAAATAAAATTATCTCATATTATTATTAAAGATTACCTAACATAATTGCATATGATATGACAAATAGCCAATAGGTAGTGCGTATATTTAAATCAAAATTGTTAGGAAAAAGAAAAAATAGGTTTATTTATAGATTTGTTTAATGCTGACGCGCAATAATTATCGTTTCTGAGCAATAATTATCGCTTATTTGTAACATTTTGTGTGTACAAAAATATTATACTAACCAGTATATACCAACTAATCTATAAATATTAAATATATTTTATTTAAAATTGAAAAATGTCCAGGTTAAGACGGACAATTTATTTTACCTGTAAATGACATTTTTCGTTGCATTCCAAACGAATAGTATCCTTTTGCAAATCCTTTTGAGCAGAGATCTCGATGGCGAACACCAGCGTTACAAGGTAAATGTAAAAATCGACCATGATCATAATATGTCGCGTGTGTCGTAACGATATATAATATTAAAATGTTATGATATTGACGAACGGGACGTCGAAGCGACGAAGACATGCATGAGGAGCAGCGCACTGAATACACGCAAAAGCACAACCCAAATGCACCATGCGAAGGTCGCGGGAAAACTGAATTCTGAAATCTGAATTGCCGGACCGGCGACCGAGAGGAGTCGGAGTAAACAGAACCACGGTCGCGTTGGAGACCGTAAAGTCGACTCAGGTTAACTGGTTCGTTTGGTCGCGGTATTTTCGAAGTTGGTGCAAAGACCGCGAGGAGACTGCAACACTGCAGGCTGGTGCGCAAACCGGCAACCACCACCAACGATTCACCGACGGTCGAGAAACACATCACCATCAAAGTTCTGTGGCCGCCGTGAGGATCACTGCTTATCATCTGTTATCACGCTGTGTATATATATTATAATCCAAATAATAACAATAATAATATTCATTAGTAGGCCGATACATTGATAATAATAATTAGTAATGTTGTGATAACGTCCGGATCGTACGGGCTAATAAATGAAGTCCACGATACATAATATTATTAATATTATAGTTGATCGTTATTTTAGTCATTTGTTTGGTGTTAATTACTATTTTTTTTTCGGTACACCCGTTTCCTGTCCTGTACGTGCGTTGTAACCGTACAGGTTAAAATTAATGTACACCAACTGTTTTGTTGGCCAACTACCGAGCACCACGTCCGCCGTTGTACGCTTTACCCAGAACATAGTGGAACTACAACTGTTTCTGCACACATTTACATCGCACCATGTTATAACGTTACGGATACGTGTTCGCCGAGCCGATAATATGAAGCTCTCCTACATGATTCGACGGTTGGATTTTGTAGTGGCGAATACGTGAAATCCTTTATCCCTAGGACCTAGGTATGTTTATTTACCGTCAACTCTCGAATTAATTTTCTCATTTCGAGTATTTCTCTCTATTTATAATTTCTTTATTTATTGTTGTCACAACTCGTCAATCTCCTGCACGTTCACTACTTTTGCAATAATTCAATTAAATATATACTTAATACTTACTATTCTTGCTCCTAGATTTCTCAATATGGCCTCTACCAAGTTGTAATCATAATTAATTTATAATCACTTAATTATAGCATACTGCCTATATTTAAACAGTACAATTTTCCTTATACCAATATTAAGATCTTCTAATCATCTTCAAGTATCAAAAACATATTTTTCTGATGTTCTCACTATGGTGATTATCTATTGACTTTTATTTATAATTTTTGTAGTTTTGCTTAGTCAAAAAATAACATTTAACAACTTTTATTTTTAAATACTAGGTACTTATTATTTGATAAAGATTTTTTAGGTGTTTAATCCTTACTTATAGTCATTAAATAGTTAATTACATTTAATTGTCAATCTCAGTTATCTTGGACTATTTTGAGATAAGTATCATTCATTAGTTGTACGTATAAATATGTATAATATGTCTAATGGTTATTTCTAATTATACAATGCTCTCATCACACTTTAAGGAATATTCTTTATCTTAATTTATTGTATGTAAAATTCTAAATTACTCATTTACAAATCATGTCTTATGCTTATCTAAACCTTCAGAATTTAAATTGAATTTTGGATGCAATTATAACCAAACATTCTTCTTTTCTGGGCCTACTTTCTTTAATTTCATGAAAAACATCTATTAAATTATCTCTGATTTGTCACATTATATATAATTTTGCATCTGCATACTAGCTTTACCTAAAGTAGAGTACATGTGGTTATAAGTCAACAACATAAGTTTTTAATTTTTCATGATTAATATTTTAGTAATAAAATAATTTATTTACAGGTTTCTATGTGTTAAGTTGCAAGATATATAGATACATCAAGGTCTACATTAATATATACTTTATTGTGCAATTATGACAACAATCTTTTAATCAATATTCACATTTGGACTGATGTAAGTATACAATTTGTGTTTTTGTATTTCCAACTGCCTAATATAATATGAATTGTAGCATGCACTTCAATATGTACCTACCATAATATATTTATGATAGCTTAATATTGTATGTTATATTTTTTATATATTGTACATATGAACTTATTAAATAGGTTAGGTTAACCTAACTTACTAATTGGTATAATTAATTATCAAATTTGTATACTTTTATATGTCATTTTGCTTATTTATTTCATCATTGTTGCTACCAATAAAATTAAATGTCATTAAGCTTATATACGCATTCATCAATAAAATCATTGAATTTATTTTAATAATTATATTTACACCCTCTTAATGCATTTTATAAAATGAGAATAGTTTAATCATATCCCACTCAAAGTAATATTTAATCAATTTTTGTTTCTGTTTAAGTTTGTTTTCAAGATTATTTTTAATTGTGGGTACGAACATCATAAAATATAATAAAATGAGCTATCTAAATAAATTAATATTAACACTCGGCAAAGAAACTAGTTCTATGATCTTATATACCTTTATTTAATATTATTTATCATTATTTTATGTATCCTATTTTTGGAACATGCATTTTTGATCACCCTTTAATTTTATTAAAAATATATTTTACTTATATTATAAATAATGTTTTTATAATTGTATGGCATACTAGTGTATTGCTAAATCGTTACTTATTAAATGTAAAATTGTTAAATCTTGGTATACACCTTCATAAAGTATTTTTAATTGACTACATTGTTGAAAATGTTTAGTAAAATATATTTTTTTGCAGATTTCAAGTACCTATATTTTAACAAGAAAACACTATATTTTTATTAAAATTCAAGTAGCTGGAAAATCATCATTGAAACATGATTTTGAATGTTATGGCACAAACACTATTGACAATTAAATTAAAATCCACTATTTAGTTATTATATGCTACTATGAAAAAAAATCGGCTTGTAGCATTAGTCTTGTTCAGTATATTTGTATGGCTTGGTATCAATCATTTTATACTCAACGATAATTTTATTGCTAAACCCAATAATTATCTTGATGAAAATTTGGATGATTTTGAATTGCGTTTGAAAATTGAAGTAGAAACACACAATTTAATACGTGAAAACATTAAACAGTTAAATTATTCAAGCCACGAAGATAGTTATCAATTTAATAAACCCAATTCGTCCAATTCATCAAGTGTTGCTATTGTAGTAATTGCTTGTAATCGTCCATCTATATCAAGGTGCATAAATAAATTACTAAAATATCGCAAATCAAAAGATGATTTTCCTATTATTGTGTCTCAAGACTGTATTCACGAAAGAACATCACAAGTTATAAAAAGTTTTGGCAGAGAATTAATCCATATACATCAACCTGATCAAAAAGAAATTAAAGTACCATCTAAAGAGAAAAAATTTAGTGGTTATTTCAAAATATCAAGACACTATAAATGGGCACTTAATCAAGTTTTCAACACATATAATTATGGAACTGCGATAATTGTTGAAGATGACTTTGATGTAGCTCCAGATTTCTATGAGTATTTTAAAGCTACATTACCAATTCTTCAAAAAGATGAAACTTTATGGTGTGTTTCTGCTTGGAATGACAATGGAAAATTTGCTTTGATTGATAGAAATGATCCAAAGCTTTTATATCGGTCAGATTTTTTTCCCGGACTTGGATGGATGTTAACACGTAAAATATGGATAGAACTAATGCATAAATGGCCCCATAGTTATTGGGACGATTGGATGAGACATCCTGATCAAAGAAAAGGCAGATCATGTATAAGACCGGAGCTATCCAGAACAAAAACATTTGGAAAAATAGGTGTTAGCAATGGTCTTTTTTATGAAAAACATCTAAAATATATATACTTGAATGAATTACCAGTTGATTTTACCAAATTAAATTTAACTTACTTATTAAAAGATGAATATGATACCAATTTTGTGGAAATGGTATATAGAGCACCACTTGTCAGTATTAATGAACTCAAAAATAAGCAAATTAGCCATAGTGATCCTGTGAGAATCATTTATTACACAAAGAATAACTTGAAATCATTAATGAAACTATTTGGCCTAATGGATGATTTCAAAAGCGGTGTACCGAGAACTGCATACAAAGGCATAATTAGTTTCACATATGATAATAGGAGAGTGTATTTAACACCTATTAAAGAATGGCAAAATTATGATCCAAGTTGGCAATGATATTCTATCATTTTTAATAAAGTTTTATACATTATGTAAATAAAAATATTAATTTTATTTTAATTATAATTTAAACTAAATATATCTACATTACTAGCATACCAATGTAAAGGGTGTTTCATAAATAACTCAATTTTTAAATTTGGTATTAATCGATTTTATTTTTTTTTTAAATATATTATATATTTTGTTTCACTATAAGTTGAGGACTAAGTGTGAAACACTTTATTGGTTATATTGTCCTATTTACTTGCTGGACCAGTAGTAACTGAAGTAACTAGAAGTTGGAAAAATTCTTAATCAAGTTAAAAGATCAAGATTTGTTTTCATAAACCTACAATTTAATGAAGCCCCAAAGAAAAGTGTTACATAGGATTAAGTTGCCAGTTCTTGGTGTTTAGTTCTGATCATCGTAGTGGGAATGGGATCTGCCATGAAACTTTTCATATAGTAAAGCAATTATCGCTTTGTGTGTATGAGTATGACAGATGGCGGTCCATGCCCCCCCCCCCTCACTCAACAATTGTTGAGCCCCTGTATTAAATGTTTTTGCAGGCCCTTTAATAAACTTCCAATAATAAAATACAACACACATAGGTACATGTATCCCATATATGATAATTTCTAGAATACTATGATTAACCCACAGCTTAAAATATCAAAATTACTATTATAATAATATGTCATAGTCATTTTGATAAAATATTATCATATATTTAAATAAAATATTTTTTAATATAAAAGAGAATACATATTAAAATTTCAAAAATTAGAAATCATTTCAATAGGCCCTTGTACTTCAGGTTCTACTCTCCCCATCCCCCTTGTGGTAGCCGTGTGTGATGCCGTCCTGCTGAAACCAATTTTTTTCACATTTAAATCTCAACTTTTAATGATACAATATAATATGTTATAGATAATGCATTTATTTAAAAATTAAATGATTTATAGCAAAACTAAAACTGTGTTCATTATGAATTAGCCTTTATATTTTGTTTACCAAAGAATATGTAGAATAATAAATTTATAATGGGAAGTTGATTTATTATTATTTTTTTTTTTTTTCAAATTTTATAGTTCAAATTGGCTGTTATAACTAATAAGATTTTAATTATCTATTAAATTATTTTGTTATCTTGTTTATAAATTAATAATTAGAAAATTATTGTTTTGTGTTTTATTTGTTAAAAAAAAAATATGGGTATAATAAATAATAATAAATATATTTGAATAGTTATTTTATTATCTCTGTCTTTGTTTATGAGCAAATTTAATAATGGATGTAGTTGAAGATGTTTATTTACTCAACTATTGATAAAATAATATGATATACTAATATTGTTTTATTTTGTATATAACGTAGGCATATCAGGGATGAGTTAGAAATATTTGATCAGATTTCTTTAAAGAAAAGAAAAAAATTAGATTAGTATTATTAATTATAAAATTAGTTAAGACATAAATAATCTAACAGCCTAACTATAGTTTAAAAATAAAATGTTATAATATATGTTAGCATCAACGCTTATCAGTTATCACCAATTTAGTTGAAAAAAATAAAAAATTAAAACAGAAGTCAGAATATTAAAATTTTGATTAAAACTGAAACAGATTAAGCAACAGTATACTACAATTGTTTATAAGCTCACAGTTATTATATTAAGATGGGTGATATAATTCAAACTTAAAATATATTAATCATATATATAGGTAGTATTAAACCTTCCTTACATTTAATCTATTAATCCAGCGGTTCCCAACCCATGGGCCGCGGCCCACTTGTGGGCCGAGATCAGCGTGGTACTGGGTCGTAAACCATATAAATATATAATATTTAATATTAAATATATATTTAAAATAATATTATTATATGTTTTTAGAATATACCTAATAATATTTATCAATATTACTTACACTCTATAGTGTCAAATTAGTGTATAATTAACGCTAAATACAGGAATAAACTGAACGTTGAAATTGATTTAATTCTAAAACCATCCAGTTTTCATCCCGATATTGACTCCTCACGAAGGACAAGAAATGTCAAAAATCACATCGAATTGTTTGACTTGTGATTAAGTTAATAATATATGTTTAATTTCATGATAAACAATTAATTTTATAATTCTTTTTAGTTCTAAGAACTAACGTTTGTTTATACATACGTATATATATATATATATATTATATATATGCATTCGTATATAGGTGAGCTATTTGTGGGCCTCAAAGATTATTTTTCAAAATTGGTGGTCCTCACAGCTAAAGAGGTTGGGAACCGCTGTATTAATCTATGGAGTGAAAATTACAAGCCAATACTTTCATACAATAACTATACAACCATCAAACTGTATTGCTTCAATACCGACATCATCTACCTATATTTAAAAAATATGAATAACCTTATGCTCAAATTTCAAATATATAGGTAGGATGTTGGCTATAGGTTATATGTTTAATATATGTTGGTGGCTTGTACCCCTGCTGTAACCTGTATGTAAACTAAAATAATCAAAACTTTTTACTCCATAGGACATAGATATTTAAATAATATTAATTACCTAATATCAATGTATTGTTTGTAAAATTAAATTTTAAAAACTTGACTTAATAATCTATTAATTATTAATGAAAAATAAAAACAACCAGGAACTCACTCTGCAGTTTTCTGTATACTATTTTTTAGGTGTCAAGTGTACATTGCTATTATGAATATCTAGGTGACTAATGGTAATAGATGTGTGAAATTTGAATTCAATAAATCATAGTATATGAAAAACGATTATGAATAAAGACAGTCCTGACAGCATTTATTACTCAGTACCTATGTTGATATTAATAATTTATTTTACAATTAATTTAATTATTTAGAAAGAAATACGATAGGTTAAAATTATTTCTCATAATACTACATAATAATTATTTATTTTAAATTATCTATTTAGGTATATCAATTAGTCAATAGTTGACTGTCTTAGCATAGACCGGTAGTTACATATATGAATAGGTTCGGGCTTAGAGGATCAAAGCATAAATAGGCATTAGGTTAACATTAATATTTTGAAAATTCCGTTTTGTTTAGTAAAATATAATAATATAGGTCAAAGGGTGTGTGTTCAAATGTGCTCTTGGTGTCCCTGAACTGTTTTAATAAATTTGCAAGGGTCAAGCAGATTCAATTATCTAAATACCAAACTGGCCTCCGTGTGATGCTTAATAAAAAATAAGTTAGTTTTCCAAAAAGTTTATTGAATTACCAAGGATGTTTTTTTTAAAAAACGTCAAGGGTTTTAGCCCCCTCCCCTTCATCAATACCATAAAGCTCTAGGTTTTTTTTGTACACCACTATATAGGTACCTATTTAACAGTAAAATAATTAATATTGAACATTTTAAACATAATATTTAAAACCTTTTTTTTATTTTATAATAAAGGTACCTCTATAAAAGCCATTTACGACTCACTCATTACTATTTCCCAAAAATAATAAATTTATGAACTTGACATTTGAAATTAACACTGTGTTTATATATTTTTTGGTGACAGTATGATGTATGTATCACTTATGAGAAACCTTCTACGTTTTCAATCCTTAGCTATAAAATTTGAACACTTCATACATTATTATCTATAAAATAAAAAAATCAGTGCCTATGTATTTTTAATATATTTTTAGCTTCTATTATAACAACTTAAAAGGAATCTTGTGTTAAATTTTCAATTTTTGGACCGAACGAAAACATTTTTATCAAAAAAAAAACTGAAAAATATGAAAAATTGCAAATAAAAATTGGCAACTGATGAAAATTTAAACTATCTATGATTATAATTTTTTTAAGTCACGCCAAAAAACCAAATAGGTATTGACGAAAACTGGTTTTGAGTAAGAATTCTCAAAAATAATGAAAATGAATACGCAATTCTTAAACAAATAACCTGAATATATAAAAAAATCCACAAATATGAAAATATAATACTTATAAATTTATAATCAATGGTACTTCTGTAACTAGCCACTATAGGTATAAAAACGATTAGAAATTTAAAAATAAATTCTGCTAGCAATTCTAGTGTTACACACTTATAAATACGATACCCTAATTATATTATTTTTCATTGCTTCTAAACAAATCCATTATGTATGTAAATATTGTTTATAAATATTAAATGTTATGTATAACTTAAATAAATAATTATGTGTAGGTAGTAGGTACCTATATCGAATTTTTGTAGTTTGGTGTAATCAAATAAGATGCCTCCTGGCTCCTACTGCTTTAGTTGACAGTCAAATATATAGATAGTTACTATTACTATAATACATCTATTATAGCTGTATAAGTAGAATATTAAGCATTTATGCTAATTGAAAATTAATTATACACAGAACTACCAAAGTGAAAGTAGGTAGGACTTCATACCTAGACTCAGTAGGTAGGTACTCACTAACCAGAAATCATTATGATCGTAGGTACTTCGTACATACCACATTATACGACATACCCCATGGCCCATACTGTGTACGTATATAATGACAACCTAATAATATTATGTACCTACTTACGTTCTCAGTACTTTGCTTATAGGACTATAGGTAAATACAATGTTATATTGTATATAGACCATAGACCATAGACGTATAAGATATATTATTATATTATTCGATGTTTTTAGTCGTTCTAATAGCTTTGCAGGTGGTAGGAATTAAACGCAAAATAAATCCAGTAGGTAATATTAATGAAGTAGTCGATTGTCGGTAGAGTGGTGGACAATACTTAATTATTATAATTTATATGTACCTATAATATAATACTGCAGCGTAGAAGTTAAGACACGTTACTCTGCAGTACCTACAACCTACCTCTACTATTGTGTTAAATATAAAAATATTTAGTTCCGTATTAGTATTTTTATTATAAATTATGTATAGTAGCTAACAACCGTGAGTATTTTAATTTTAAACATAGTTTAATACGCTGCTAAAGTGCTAACCTAACCTTGCGGGAATTATAATATTTCTAAGTTTTACTGAAGACTGAAGTACCTATGTAAAATGTTGTAATAAGTGTATTAGGGACATTTAAAAAAATACATAATACAGTTCGAATATTCTAATAATTTAGTATTTCATTTACTCAGAAATTAATATAATGTCTCACTATAAGATGCCAATTGCTGAATACGTGTACACAGAACACTTCGAAGAAATGGACGTAGCTGAAGATGTTTATTCGACATTTGCTGACAAGAAGAACACTAACGATCAATTTCTGTACGTACATGGATTACTAAAAGAATATAGTTGGTTACCTACAAAGTGTGATGGTTATATAAGACTATCACAGGGTCATCGGCGATGGAGAAAACGGCTGAAAAAAAACCTCAAAAAACTAGGAGTATTCATAAATATGGATTGTACCACAGCAAACAAAAATAATGATACATCTGATCAATATAGATCGCGTGGCAATGAAGCCTTTAAAATTAAAAACTACGAGGAATCGCTAAAAATGTATACTCAAAGTATAATGACTGCAGAAACTGACTCTCTTAATTTTGCATTGTCAGTGGCAAATAGATCTGCAGCTTTATATTATTTAGGAGAGTATGAACATAGTTTAAAAGATATTGATCAAGCATTTAAATCCAAAAGGTATCCATTGCAGAATAATTACAAGTTATTTGAAAGAAAAGGAAATTGTTTCCGTCAGATGAATCATACGTCTCTTGCATTAGAATTGTATTCGGTACGTAACATTTTTTATTTAATTTTTGTCATTAATATAATTTAAATAACGCGAATAGACGTCTTGCACTTGATTTTACATTTTTACTCCAACCCTGAACATCCTGGTGTATAGGCGTAGCGCCAGATTAAGTGCTTACAGAGACTTCTAGGGAAATTTTAAAATTTAACCTTTACTCAGATAATTTAAGTTTGGGGTTCACTGCGACGGATAGATTCATACACAAAGCTAAAAACCCTCCAAGAATCTCAAAAAAATGTTTGATATAATTTTTATTGAAAACGGTCCAATAGTTTTTCAGTTGGTAGAGGACAAACAAACAAACATTCGTTTTTATACATTATATTTTCATAAAATATTTATAAAACTTTTTAGTAATTTTTTTTTTTTTAAAGCGGGTAAGTTGATGTCGCTCTGCTGTATATTAGGTGTCTACAAGGTCGCCGTAGTGGATAGCATTAAATTTGAATTCAATGATATAATATCATTGTATACGAAAAACTATTCTGAGCGGAGACGGTATGTCAGTCTACTGTCTAGGATATTTTATATTGTTATTAGTTATTACTATCATTAATACGGTAGCCGTAGCCGATAAGTTAAATTAACATTATTATTAAATTATCAGTGATGCTGGAAAAATATTTTATACACTTCTGAAAAATTGGGCTATTTTGGAACCGAATTACAGCAAAATTACTAAAATTGTTATTCTTTGTGTTAATATGTAAATGCGTTATGTCCCTTAAATTTACGTATACAATTTAATACAACTCGATGTAATTGTCGAGTATTGAAAGTTGAAATTCAGACGCTCATAAAAAGTTATTGCGGACAGCTCAATTTTTTTTTTAATTTTCACTAACAACTTATTATGAGTAATCTTGTATTATATTTTTACCCAATTAACATTTTTTTATTCACGTTAATTGAAAATCATAATCAAAAATTTCATATGCCTATAAATAATTCATCATGAGTCAACATATTTTGAAATTTTATTGAGTATAGAAAATGCTACCACAAACATCAGTGAAAATATCATGTATCTATGGTCAGTTTTTTTAGAGGTGCACTAAAAACCAAAATTCGATTTCTAAAACTGAGTTTGCATGAAAATTCTTGTTTTTCTTAATTTGTTTGATTGTTTTTCCTGCCACCTTTGAAAACTATTTTGAATTTTAAATTCTGACCTCCCGGATACACTAACTAGATTCACACTAATACCAGGAAAGTTGCTATTAAAGTAAATTGACCTTTAAATTGAAGTACTTTTACTGATCCAACCCGTGGTGACAGATACAAAAATAAAAAATAATAATAAAAAACACATATCATTGTAAAATCAATACATTCATTCCTCCGCTCAAAATCTAAAATCCGAATTTATTATTAGTTTTTACATCCTTGATAATTTTGATTATAATAAATATTTCAATTAAGCATATATTATATCTATTAAATATTCATATTATTAATATATATTTGTTTTTAGAACTGTTTATTACATTTAAATAGTAATACACATTTAACATTTGCCACCAAAGAAAAAATAAAAACTAGAATATCGGGATTTGTAAAAAATTGTGAATTAGTAGAAGAAAAAACAAAGAAAAATAAAATAAAATATGAAAGTTTCACAAAACTTAAATTCGTTAAAAATTCTGGTTTATCGGAATGTGTTGAAATACAAAATTCAAAAGAAATGGGAAGAGGATTATTCGCATCAAAAAATATTAAGCCTGGTAAGATTCATATACTTCATACTAGTTTATAGTTTATAATGATTTCTGTTGTACAAGTATACATAGATAAATAGGTATATATATAACATATTTTTCAACACGACAAAATTGCTGAATTCTGTAGATTTTATTAATCATTTATAATAATTGTATACATACATTTTTCAAATTTAATTTTTATTTATACGGTTTCGAATAGATTACAACATTGCTATACCGAAAAATTAGTTTAAAGAAAATCACAGTTATCGCGTGTAGAGATTACCGTGAACACAACAAATAAATGGTCTTATAACTTTTAAGAATTTGAAACTGCAAGATACTCTGAAATGTGAATTATTGTTCGAATAATAATTAGACTAAGTTACAAATAGGTACCTAATCTAAAAATACACAATGAATTTATACACTTCTCCGAATTTTATTCCTACAAAATACTCAAGATAAAAATATTATTAGCAAATAATTAATAAACAGACCTATTAAGCAGTGGTCGTCAAACCCGCATATTATGCTATCCCGTATTATCCCCATATTATTCTTTATTTCATCATTACACAATCTGTAAATATATACAATAATCGATGAGTAGTTATAACTTATAAGTTTTGTGCGACAAAATAAGTGTTTATAGGTAAACATATAAAATAATTGATGAAACTTAGGCACATTTATTGATGATGCGGCACGGTGTCTGGCTTCAGACACAAAACGTGATCTGAGTGTCAGCACCGGCCGGTGCAATTAATTCCCGGATGGGTGACCGTGACCGCCCGGGTTCTTAGTGACAAATCCTTGCCACACATACACTTGTTTCAAACCAACCGTACCCTCCCCAACAGTTACAAACCTATACTAAAAATGACCATCCAATGGCCCATGTGGCCCGTGGGGCGCGGGTTTATTATTAAAAACTATACAAATAGTTGAATGGTTGTAACGAATTCAAGTCGACTGTTTTCAGGTGAAATACTCATTGTCGAAGAGCCTACTGCTGGTGTATTTAAAAATAGTATGTGGATTTTCAACTGCGATTATTGTTTCAAACGATGTTTATCGGCCATACCGTGTTCCAAATGTTCACATGTAAATCGATATTTAATACATTTTAAATTATACAAGTTTTTAATGCCTGTGAAAAAATGTTTTACTCTTAATAGGTCGTCTACTGTGATGAGACGTGTCTGCGCAAAGCCCACACCAGTTACCACGGTATAGTATGTTCATTAGTCTATCCTCTCAAAGCGGACCCAACTGTTGAACCCACTCACGATCTGGCTTTACGTTGTTTTGTTCAACTTATAAATGTAATGGGCATCGAACATTACTGCTCTATGGTACGAAAGTATAACGAACCAAACTTTAGTTTTGACGAAAGCACCAATAATTGCTTTATGGACAATACTTTTCACTCGGTCTATGCACTTGATGGAAACGAGACCAAAAGGACCGTATCCAATTTATTTTTCATGCATTGCACTGCGTCAATGATGGTGTCTCTGTTGTCGTTAAATGAATATTATGATATACCGTCAAATTTGCTGGGCACTGTTGGTGCATCTTTGGTTCATTTGCTGTGTATAGCCAACTTGAACTCGTACGCGTCCGTAGAGCTTTCCAAATACATCGGCAAGAGCAGTAACAATGTCGTCTCGAATCGACCAGCGACTTATGATTCCGTCGCGCTTGTCCTATGCTCTGCGTACAGTTTGATCAATCATTCGTGCGATCCAAATGTGATTGTTCAAACGTATAATGGTGTAGAAGTGACTCGAGCAATAAAACCGATTTCAAAAGGATCTCAAGTAAAACATAATATCAATTAATCATATAATCAATTAATCTGTACCTACACGGGTTGTTTTCAAATAATTATAATAATTTACCTACTACTATATAATATTATAGCATTATTATAATTTATATTATAGCTATTCACTGATTATGGCGTCAAATTTATGTCACACGACAAAAAAGAACGCAGTATACATTTATTTGATCAATACCAATTCCAATGTCAGTGCCAGGCGTGTGTGAACGATTGGCCAATCTATGCACCACTGGAACTCGATAAATTATTTATTAGGTATATTATAATACATTAAGCTACCTACCTATCTTATGTATTTTTAATTTTAGTATGTCTGTACGTATCATGATAGAACATAGAAATAACCAGGTATAATATAATGTTCGCCCCGTGCGACCGTGCTCAACACAAACATTGAAGTTCTCAATTTTAATTTCACTTTACAATATTTACATAGAACACGTGATTCATATTTACCTATATCTTAACAAACAACAATTAAATCTCATTAAAACGAAGTTTCATACAAATTACAAATATAATATGTATCGATTTTACTTATTATATTGTATAGGCAATTGTATATTTTTCAGCAATGATCCACTGCTTATGAAAGACGAGAATGGCGATAACCACCTGAGTATTCCAAAAACGACTTTATCCAAATTCAATGAAATTGTAGATTTATTGATACAACGTAAGGTAAATATTGATTGTTTAGGTTTTTTATTTTCATTTTTAGATTTTTTGTACTCTAATTTTAAAAAACCATCTACCATTCACTATAAATGTGTTCAATTAGTTCAAGCATGTTTGTATTATACTTCAGATCAAGTACATTATGTCATAGAACAATAAAAAATTAATATACAAATCAGAATTGTTATTTCTTTAATATTCGTTGTAAGCCATTACGATTGAAATATTTTTTTGCCTTTCAAGTTTCAATAAAGCTCATATTTTAATGGCTGTTAGTCTCAATTGACCGGATTTCCATCATCGTTTCAGTCTGAGTTTCTTGTAAAATGATAATCATCAAGTGTATACAGTATGTGGGTGATACTTATAGAATTGCAAATTGTAAGTTCTATGAAAACCTTTAACCACGTTTGTTGTTCTAAAAAAATGCAGCATGAAAGGACACACAGGACGTCAGGACAGTATATAGGTATTTGTAGCAGTGAGCAGTGTACCACGTCATATCCCATAGTATAGGTTCCATCTCACTATTGCTTGCCAAGATATATTATTTACGGATTAGTTGTCCAGCAGAACAACCATCATCATACGTACATTTCCCCAACCGTTTCCCGTTTCCCTAGCCCCACCCACAGTTTTTTGTTTATTGCGGGGGCGTTTTTTGAGCTGGAATTCCAGGTTTTGCGGCAGGAATTGACAGGAATGGAGCACTAAATATTGGCATTGGAAAAAGTTAAAAAATCGAAATGGGGGGCTTGGGGAAATGTACGTCATCATCATGTCCTGCCTGTACGCAATACAGTTATTTTTTGTCTTGCACTTCAACACCATTTTGTTTAAGACGCCAAAAATATGTAACGTCAACGTATTAGTTATGACGTATTCATAAACAATGTGTTTAAACAGTTCGGTATAAACGGTGTTTTTCTTCTCCCTATAGCTGCAGATAATGAACTTTTTTGAGTTCCGATTTTTGAAGATTGATAAGTAAGGTTAGCATTTATAAACGAATTGGTATGTTTTTTGCAAAGTCCTTTTCCAAATTTGGTTAGTAATGTCTAAGAATCTCAAGTCACTACAGAGAGAAGTTTTCACTTAAAACACTTACACTTTATACAAATGTATGTATGCATTGAAAAACTGAAAAAGGTATAATTTTGATTAGGGAGCGCACTTAGCCCTAAATCTTATACATTTTTATTCTATATTATGTGCACGTAATATATGTATTAATAGTTTATTATTAAGGTTTAATTTGGATTGTTTGCCTAGCAGAGGGTTAAAGACATTTTCGTCTAAAGTTACGTAAGAGGTTTATATTTATGTCAACTTTCAGTGTCTTCTTCCTTTGGTTTTTTTAACAACAATATAGTTTGCCTTTTAAGGTCAATAATAATAAATTCATTGACGTATAATATTAGGTGCCATACCTACTTGCATGCCCCTCAAATTTAATGATCGTATGCATTCCTTGTATGGGCTGAAATCAGGAATTTTTACAATAACTTAAGTATTATAATTTAGGGTATAAAGCTGCATAAAATTTGGAGAAGTTAGTTGGAGATTGGAGTAAGTATATGTTCATTATTTATAGTTAAAAGGTTCATGTCAAAGTTGATATTATTATTATTGTAATTATCTATTTAATGTGTTTATGGGTTTTCAGTTTTTCACCAGTAGGTAGTCCGGCGACTACAGTGAATATTGATTTTATAGTTTGATGATTAAATAGTATACTTTTTATTCGCTTACTCTATATCAGCGGTTCCCAACCGGGGGGAATATAATGGTGATNTGGTAATTATCTATTTAATGTGTTTATGGGTTTTCAGTTTTTCACCAGTAGGTAGTCCGGCGACTACAGTGAATATTGATTTTATAGTTTGATGATTAAATAGTATACTTTTTATTCGCTTACTCTATATCAGCGGTTCCCAACCGGGGGGAATATAATGGTGATGGAATTACGAAAATAATTATGTTATTTTACAATGTGTAAATTGAATCACTATATTAGTTATCAGATTATCGGGCATCGTTAACAATTATATTATATTAGGTATAACGACAGAGTCGATAAATCGAGTTATTATGTATACTTTATGTTAAAACAATCTACTAAATTATTAAACTTAGCAATTAGCATGGTGATTCTTTGACACGTGAAAATTGATGAGGGACAGTTAGACATTAGTATTAAGTATTTTAATTATATTTTATTGTATTTCTTAGCTGGCGATTCTGGTGAGTAGTTAATTGTTGTCAATGTTATATAATATTTATTGTTTAAAATATTATTTTTTGATACAATAAATGTTTAAATTGTAAAACGCTTATAATCCATGTATACCTATTGGCTATTACTTTGCAACTATACACAAAACGTTACGCTAACAAAGTCACAATAAATAGGTACCTACTGAAGCTAATGTACTTATATTATTTCAGAATACGTGAACAGATATATAAAATACTGCAATGAATTATGAATGTAATTATAATTAATCTGATTACATTAAATAAATTTGACATTTTGTGTAAGATTTAATGATTCATTAATAAACCTACGCATTAAGTATTAATAATTATTTCTTTAATTAGGGGAGACTTGCCTAGATTGGACCACTTTGAATATTCAAGAATATTCCAGATATTATTATATTTAACTGCACTTAAATAATATCTAAGCATGTGAAGAGCAGTCTGGCATAGTTAGATTTAGATTCTAAGCCGAGGGCTGAAAGAGCTCACTTTCACTCACACAGTCCTCTAACAAAGTTGATTTAAATTCTAAAGAATCATTTAAAATTAACACTTATATTATGATCATGGAGTCCTTTCTTACTGAGTTGAGAAAAAGAAAAATGTCATATGATTTGGTAAATGAAAATTTTTCATTCTTTTTTAATATAACCGAGTTAAGCACTAGTGAAGTTAGAGAGAAAGCTGAAATAAGAGCCATGATAAATTGAGTATGGAGACCAAATCCTACAAGATTAAACGGCCACAGGCTGCGTTGCAGTCACTGGAATTGCTATTTGAACACTTATAGAACATGGACTAGTCATGTTTTTGGAAAATATATGCAATATTTTGAACCATGACTCTCAATAAATTGTATAGCTTGTATGACTCCGCATTCATACATGTGCGTATTTCATAAACATTCAACATTCTTAAGGAACAAATTGAGTGTAACGATACACGTCGGTATAACAAGATCGTACGGTGACCTCAGACGTATACGCAATAACTATAGGTGCAGTGTTAATGAATTGTATAATTTGACTTTTTACACAATAATAGAAAAAAATGTTTATGAAATATACACAAAAACACAAGTACCTACCTAGCCACCTAGGTAATAAATGGCAAATGCATAGTCTTAAAAGCTATAGACTATTTAAAGAGGTTCATGGTTCAACATAATGCATTTATCTTCCAATAAACGTAAAAAACATTAATAACCTCCATACTACACTGGTTAAAGTATTGAATCTAGTGACTTCAGCCCAGTCTGTAGCCAATAGCCATTTAATCCAAATACTCAGTACGGGACGATTTTTCATCTGGGAAAATTAAGTTACAATATTTTAGTCTCCATACTGGTAATAATATATGATAAATCCCATGACAACGGGATTAAATAAATACACGAGTAAAAATGTTTTAATTTTTATTTATGTTTAACAACTGGGTATAATTGAGGTGGTCCAATTTAGGCGCATGTCTAATATTGGGGATTCTCCTCTATATTCGTGTTAAAAAAAAATTAATATCATTCAAAACTGTTTTTACTTTTATATTTTAGATTACCGGATAATTTATCCAAAGAGTTATTGCAGATATTTTGATATCTTGATAATATGATTTATATAGTTTATATTTATCTATGATAATAATTCTATTCAGATATTGTACGAATAACATCGATTTATTTCATAATGCATAATTTTTTTATATAATATTATGTATTAAGACTGTATGCTTTTTTTTTTTTTTGTTATTAATATTTAAACACCTAACTAACATACTTTGTATTACTTTAAACTTCACAATAAATTGATAAATTAATAAAACTAAATTTTGTGTTAGTTAGTTTATTATAAAAAAACCTATAAGTTTGTGGTACTTACGTCAAAAAAAATGTTAGCAAATTTAAAAAAGTGAGTTGATAAAACGCTGAATTCATTGTGACTTCAATGGAAGAAGACTTCATCCACCTACAATCAATCCAACACCCATCGTACAGTACACTTGCAGTTACTTGTGTAACTCTTATACCTCTTCAACATTTTTTTATAAAAAGCATGGTTATTGATTAATTTTTATATTATAAATATCATAATATGACTTACTACCGGTTTAATATTGTATTTCGAATATTGTATTATACTTATTATCAGATTTATGAATTTCGATATGCCTATTGTCATACATTTTTTTATAGGTAGTACACTACTGACTTAGAAACGTATCGGAAGACCGATAATATGAGTACCAACACATTTTAAAATTTAGGTTTACCTACTTTTACCATTTTCCCCTCTCTAAAAGTTTCTTTTAAAAATGTATTTTGAATAGAATATGTAAGTAAATAACACCAATTAAGGTGACCGCACACTGGTAAAGCAAAATTGACCGAAGAAATGTAAGTCATATTTAGTCATTTTGCTTTAGTCATAATAACGCATTGTTGTCGCTCACTAGATAAAACATAGTTAGTCAAATCAAAGTATATCAAGTAGTCGTCAAAATTTCGTCCGACGAGGAGGACGTTGCTATTCCTATTTTATGGTTTCTTTTAAAGAAATTGAACAGGAAGAAAATAAAAAAAAACTTTGGGTTCATCCTTTGAACTTGAAACAAACTGAAAATAATACAATTAAATGTTTTATTCATGAACTTCGAAATTACGAATATAAATTTAGAAATTTGACACGAATGAGTACCGACACGTTTGATTATATTCTAGAAATACTTAACGATGAAATTCGAAAACCTGATACTAATTTCAGAAGAAGTATCACTCCAGAAGAGAAATAATTGGTGACATTGAGGTAAGTTAATAACAAACTCTAAATAATTAGATATTAGATTCTGAGCGGAGCATAGCGAAATAATGTATTGATTTTACAATGATGTGTTTTAAAAAAAAA